TTCCTCAGACCCCAGCTATAGGGCAACCACTATTTCAGGGATGGGTATGGCTATTCTTATTTCTCATGAGGAGTTTTAGAAGTTCCTGGGTGTTTCTAAGTTGGGGGAATACACTTTTTCTTTTATTTCATAAAGTTTTCACGCAGTCAAAATACCATTTCCTGTTCAGTTTGAAGGGATGTATTTCTAAAAACAATTATCACAAAAGCAAGGAAAAGCCTTAGTGAGGAACTCTCCTCAGGGGTACATGCGCTCATCACGCAGCGTGAGGGGGATGCAGAAGAGAACCTGAGAAAACACGACGCCTCTAAGGCAAGTTTCATGAGTGCTGGCAGAGCTGGAGAGCTGCACACCAGGACTCTCACAGGGTCTCTGGGGGATGCCATGCGATAGCTGCACTTAGTTTCTAGAACATACACTGACACAGCAAGCACTGGGGAAAATATTACTGCTCATTTCCCAAGGGACAGTTATATAAATACCTATGCCTGCTCCTCTGATATATCCCTGTGAGCCTTAGGTGAAAAGACCACAAGAACCTGGGACTTGAAATAGGAACGTGAAGCCTTTTCATAACAGGTTCTAATAGAGGGTGTTTCAGCCTGTGCATCAGAAAGAAAAATTATCTTGCCTTTTGAGAAAGATGGAATATGGCTTGGCTGCAGCAACACGACTGAAGTCTGGATGCTTAAGCGACTAAGCACATATTTTTTGTGACAGCCCCTCTAACCTCCCCCCCCAAAAAAGAAAAGCAACATTATAATGCATACACAGTTTCAGATTTGGATTAAGCAATTATTTGGGAAAGCTTAACTAAACAAAAATTAGCCCAAGAAAGGCCTCACTGCAACCTTTAAGGTTGCAAAGCCTCTAGGTCTTTGGAAGCCTGGAAATAAACGCTACTCCCCTTTGAGCTCTGTTCCCCTTGCAACCCTGCAGGCCTTGCTCAGGAATCCCCTGCTGCTTTACAATACATGCAAAAGCTTTGCTCTCTGACAGACACAGCCACCCAGTTTGTAAGCCACCCACCTTGTAAGAGGTACAAAACCCAACAAATACCTGGAAAAAGCCAAAGAGAGAAAGATATTTAAATCCCAGGATCCAGCAATATTCCCTGGCAATTTAAAGGTAAAATGTAAAGGTTCCATTCTGCAAAGATGCTATCAGATGTAAAGATTACAGATTGATAGATTACAAATACTCCACAGTACTGTAGATTGTTGCAGTCTTCCTCAGTTCAGATTTCATCCAGGCCACTTGATAATATCATCTCCTTTGACTACACAAGCCTTCCAAAAAACACGTGTTGTTGCCTGTCCCAAAATTCAGGACTCCCAGTCAACAGTCAGCCACATTCCTCTTCCTATCTTTGATCTCCATGCTGTTAACCTGTAAATCCTGTTGCCACAGATTTCCTCATTATCAGCAACCAGTGTGTTTATTTATTGTACCTTTAGCTCAGACATCCTGTCTCTAAGGTTCTACTATTTGGGTAATGGTAGCATAGACGCTCACTGTGATAGTCCTATCAATTGAACACTTGAAAGCAAGCAGACATCGTATGCACACCCCATGTCTTCCCCCCTCTCCATCCCAGCCCATGTGGAGCCTCCCACCGACTCTTTTCACTCCTCAGAATATACAGAGCTGTGGGTTTAAAACCTCCAGGTAACGTTTGGATTTTTCACATACATTCATATTCTTTCACAGATCTAAGCTGTCAAAGCCATGCCACTACAAGCTAAACGGGAAAACACAGTCTCTTGTTTTCCCACCAGAACCACTTGCACTCTACTGTAACCACTACACACATCCAGAAGCACCTGTAAAAGAAACTGCATGGCAGTTCAGAAACCCGAAGTGCTGATCCAGTCTAGGCAAATGAGGTAACTTTTGTACAACAAAATGAAGGAAAAGAATGCTGCATCCTCCTCTTTGCATATTCCTAACAACAACAGCAAAATTAGCAGTAAAGCAGGCAAGGTCCAGGTTGCAGTTTTCACTGAAGAGACTTCAGTGAAAGAGAGGAAGAATAGCGATGCTTGACTGGAAGTGATTGATAGTAGAAGTAAAAATAACCCTACCAGCAGCTGAATCTCTAAGCAGTGTTTATTGAAAGCTATTGGGCAACACAGCCTTCACACGCTGCATGGACTGCAAGCTTTCTGCAGCTCATGGCCCTGGAAGCACCTGTAAGGTTATACCACGGGCTTCTTGTGACAAACTGATAAACAAACAAGCAACATGTGGACTGAATGGTTAAGGGGCTATGCTCTTACTATTAAGACACTGGACTCAGGAATCTCAGATCTTTCTCTAGGTCAAAGACTTCTTTTGGGACAAAAACTATCTTTGGATCTCACTTTCCTCATGTTTTACTGCAATGGGGTGCTTCTGGCACAAATTGTTCAAGAATCTCCAAAACAGAGAGGACAGAGGATGTAATAACTCCTGATAACACGAATTCGGTGTGTGCAGCACACTGTAGCAGTTTCATCATTTTGCTGTTTCTCTGAATTTTCTCTGAACCCCCTCAGTGAATACATAATAAAATGTTGTAGATGAAAGAAGAATCATTAGTCTACCAAGTAACCTGAATATTGCTCTCTTTGTATGCCTGTATTAAACACAGTATTATTATACACTATTCCTCCCTCTTCAACTTCATCCTTACAACAGGCAAAGTACAACCTGAACCTAATAGGGATTCAAGTCAGAATGCAGAGTGACAGGAACTGCTATCTGGAGCCTCTTCAACCTCCTCTTCATTTTACATAGAAACTGGAAAGTGCAATATAAGAAAGAGAGGTCTTGTGGTTACCACAGCTGATTGCTACTCTCAAATATCTGCATTCTGCTCTTGTCCCTTTCTGATGTCTTATGCAATGCTCAGGAAGTCAACTGAGCCAAGCAGGTAGTCACTGATTGCCTACACCTCATTTCTGAGAAGCCTGAACTGCAGCCTTGCTTGCAAGGTGCTGGGCACTCACTGCTGTACCACACCTTAGGTCTAAAAAACTTGGCTTGAACTAAAGTGCAACCTGCTATTCAGTGTGCGGGCTAGGGAGGAGCACTCTCATCCCAGGTATTTCAAGCGGAGCTCCCAAAATTCAGTGCATACATTTACTCTTGGAAGCCCACCCTATTCCTCTGCTCCCCATATGTGAGGTAAGGACAACGCAAACTTACCTTAAAGCAAATGTTGTGGAAATAACAGCGTTCCACATCAGAGTGAAAACCACAAAGCACTACTAGGAGGAAATGAAAAATTCTGTTGTCAGAGTAGGTCTAAAATAAACTGAAGTAAAGAAGCCTCGTCCATACACTGAGCAATGACAGTGAAACCAGCTATTGAAACCAATCATTTAACAATCTAATAATTGTCTGTGTGCTGAAAAAGGCTGAAGTGTGGTAGAAAATACAGTGCAAGAGAGTCAAAGTGTATAGGTAGCATGGATCCTGAAAATCACTACATCTGAATGCTCAGTTTCCCAACCCAAATTGCTACTTTAGGAAGCAGTTATGTGTGAGAGATTGTCTAGTTTTTGTGGTATGCTTTTTTTTCTTTTCTAGCAACAGCAAAACAAGCCTGAAAATAACAAATCCCCTTATGCATCTTCATACCAATACCCCTCATGACTTATCTGCAGAGCTAAAGCTCACATATCTCCTGCACAGACCTCTGACAGTCAGCTAAAAAAGGAGGTAATGACAAAACCAGACTATAACAACTCTGGATAAACAAGAGGGTGTCAAACATTTTATACCGAGGAGTTTTACAGCTACTGATGTCTGAGAGAAAGCAGGGCACTAGGAGATTCTGGGATGCACTCCTGCCTGGAGGGGGGAGCACTGTGCCAGGCAGCTTTCTATTTATCTTCTGGAAAAAAAGAGAAAATAAAACCCACCCAACCAACCAAAGCCTCAATCCTCAGGCTGGTCCCACGTGCACCTCTGACCCCTTGCCTTAATCCTGTCACCCTCTGCTAGCAAGCCTCATCACCCAAACGACCTTTTTTTCCCCCATCCTTGAAACTAGTACCACAGCCCTTACTCTGTCAGATCTTCCTTGGTTCCTGTTGTCTGTTTCTCTACCTTCAAATCCCAGAGGCCAGTTAGTTTTCTCCCCATTTTCCACCCCTTGGCTCCCTGTCTCTGCCTCTGTGTCAGGGCTCCTCATTCAAACTCAGCCTTGTCCCTCTGCTCCGTCATCTTACTGCTTCTGTCTCTGTGTCCTGCTCCTTCAGCAATGCCTCCTCAGCAGATCTCATTCTCTACCACCTCCAGGCCCCTGCTTCTCTGCTCCTCCTTCACTCTGCAGCTACCCAGCAGATCTCTGTTCCTCTGTGCCTTTGGGGACAGTGGAAGAGTCAAAGGCCAGACTAGAGATTTTTTCTCTTAGTACCTCTGTCCAGAGTCATGATAGATTTCAGGAGCACAGGGATTCAATCCCTTTTTCAAGCAGGAAAACACCTGCTCAGTTGTAGCGTGCACCATGCCCAGTGCAAATATACCTGTGGTAAAGCGAACTGTCAGTAGAGATCTCTACTGACCATCAATGTGGTCGAACTTGGGATGACTTTAAGGGTGACAAGGAAAGACACTCCTGGAACAAAATTTCCCCCTCAATAATTTCAATCCAAGTAACAGGCAAATTGCTACAAACTTAATTTCTATTTAAAACTATTTTTTCCTCTAGAATTACTACTGGCAATAGTTGAAAAAATTCTGCCAAAAAACTCTTGCAAAACTATTTCTCTTCAGCACAGGAAATACCATCCTTCAGGTGTGTCAGAATAGTAAAATGACAAGCTGCATAGACCAAGGCAATCCCACCAGGAAGGTAAGCTACGAGCCCTGCCAATAGGCAGGGCTTTGCCCAGCCCAATTCTGCATCTTCCCAGAGGCACAGTCTAGTTCCCTGGTAAGAGCACTCACACCACTGACCTCACAAGATCATCACATTTTGATATTTACACAAGAATTATCACATTAGTCACAGTTGTGATGTCTTCACCAAGATAAACCACTCTCTGAAGTGAACAGATATCTGCCTGAGCAAAGACAATGACCTTAGTGATTATTTTTGTTTCTTTCCACCATTAACTCTGATACTTCCTGAGAAGTTAATTATATCAGAAAACTAATCCCTGCTTGATCTGAGATGTCTTTTCCTGATGCTGCCTTCAAACCATATGTACTCAACCTTGATCTTTGCTCACCCTTGCAAAAACCTATTAAACAGAATGATCTGCTCTTGGAACAATTCAAATAATTGATGGCTCCCCATCGCTCTTGATAGGCAGATCTGTCACTTGATGCTGAAATTTGCAGGGTGCACATGGGAATTCCATCCACACATGAAGTAGTTCCAACAGCAGCACTACTGTAGAGACTCAAATGAACCCTGATGCACCAAATACCACTGACTCTCTCCAAGTGCAGCTGCATAGGAAGTTCTTCAACTTTTTAAATGCTGCTGTGCTGTCATTAATCAATCCCCCAAAGGAATAAACTTGTACTCAAGCATCAGTCTGCACCATTCTCAGTATTTTACTTCTGCCTGTTCCTCCCATGCCTGGAGAGCTACATTTCTTCCACTTTGCTTTCATTTTGTTAACACTGTATTGATTACTTAACTGTCATTACTCTGTACCTTTTACTTCTGCTTAAAAATCATTTCCAAAACCAGAGGAATTGTGACTTAACACAACTCTCAGCATCTGTTACTGTAACTTCATTTGCTTTGTTCAAATTCAGCCAAATTTTTCTATGAAGAACGGGTGTAGCAAAGAACCAAAGGCTTGAATAAAAAGCCTTCTGACTTTATTAGTGCCTGCACAATCCAATAAACAAAACTAGGCATTAGCATTATTTCACCACTATATTACACAAAATCATGCCACTACATTGCTTTTTTAAAAAATGTAATTTTCTTTCACTTTCAGTTTGGTTTATTTAAATTAAAATAATAAAATCAGTACTTCAGATGCATTTATCCAACTGTCTCTTCTTTCAGCAGCGGTCATTATCTCTGTCTTTTAAACCTGGTACACTTATTGGTTATTTTTTTCCTCAGTTCCACTGAGCAACACTAGATCATGTGCATGCCTTATTTCTTTTTTGTACAAAGTCTATACATAAGTAATTTGCTGCCTCCTATTTTCCTATTTCAAACTAGCAATAAAATGGCTGAAGTTAGAAAGTCTTGGAAAGCAGATGCAGGGACTGTGAGAATGAAGAACTCAGGCCCACTGTAGGAGAGGATCGGGGTCAAGATCATCTTAAGAACCTGAACGTGTACAAGTCCATGGGACCTGATGAAATCCATCCACTGGTCCTGAAGCAGCTGGAGAATGAAGCTGCTAAGCCACTGGCCATCATATTTGAAAAATCATGACAGTCAGGTGAAGTTCCCAATGACTGGAAAAGGGGATACCCTTCCAGACTCTGAAGGGGGCCTACCAGGATGCTGGAGAGGGACTCTTCATTAGGGACTGTAGAGACAGGACAAGAGGGAATGGGTTTAAACTTAAACAGGGTATGTTTAGGTTAGTTATAAGGAAGAAGTTCTTTCCTGTGAGAGTGGTGCGACACTGGAATGGGTTGCCCAGGGAGGTTGTGAATGCTCCATCCCTGGCAGTGTTCAAGGCCAGGTTGGACAGAGTCTTGGGTGACATGGTTTAGTGTGTGGTGTTCCTGCCCACAACAGAGGGGTTGGAACTTGATGATCTTAAGGTCCTTTCCAACCCTAACTATTCTATGATTCTATGATTTATTTCATGGCCTTACTTTTGGGCCAATTAACAACATTTTAAGAATAGAAGAGAATTTAAAATAAACATAGTCAAACTAAAGATATCAAAGACTATTGGGCCAATTCTGTGCTAGGCTTTGTCTAATGCTTATGTCTCTTGCTTCAGCAGAGACCCCAGCTCAACAGTAAGAGCAAGGGGAAGGCGGCTGACGTACAGTGCGTAGAAGCAGCTCGTAGCACAGCCAAGCTTCCTGGAAGGCAGTGTTAACAGTTGGCTCATGTTTTCAATCAGCTAACTCCAGACACTATATAAATTGTTACTGCTCACACAGAATGAGATGTTGTAACTTCAGGTTACAGAAGACTACAGTCTTTGATACCTGCATTCAACTTCAGGTTACAGCCCTCTAGCTAAGAGCTTGAGCTGGGCACTTTCTTATCATCTGCGAGGTCACCATTCCACATCATCCTCTCTCACCTTTATACCTGTGACAACCTCAACAGAGAAGCCACCTGAAAGGTGGTAAGGAAGATGCCATCCTGGAAGACCTACCTGACTATGTGTTAAGGAAAACTCAGATTAGTGGAGAGCATGCACAGTTAGAACACATGCACACACGCCTTGTTCCTGTGTAATCAAAGCCTGTCCTTTACAGGCAGTTGCTCTGGAGATGTGTACCCCAGAACAGCTCTGCAGGTAGGCAACATTGCTGCTCAGTACAACATAATGCGCTACTCATAACACAGCCTAGGGGGAAACACACACAGGGAGTATTTCCCCAATGCACTCCAACCCTTTTAAAACTGCATGGAAAAGTAACAACCGCATGTAATATGCAACTGTTTGCATTTGGCCAAACAGTTTAAGTACTGGATGAACATAACTCCTCCAAGTCTCCCATAGCAGCACTTAAACAAAATAACTCAGTAAACTTTGGTATATACTAGACAGTGAAAGCTTCACAGATACAACTTTTTTCTTGTCACGCATTTGGCAGCTTTTAAGATGCAAACTGTGATTCTGTGTGAATAGACAGAAAATGTAAATGTTGAAATTGGAACATAGACCTCACAGCCCCAGTGTTAAATCAGAGAAACATGGGTTACCACCCCATCATCAGAAGCACAAATGCAGCACAGTTATGTTGAACTGCAGCAGCGGTATGCAATCTATTTTAGGACTACTTCCTATATCCTTGATTTATACTATGCATGGAAGCCTGAGTATTTCCTAAAGACAGCAATGCTTACTGACTTCTATTTTCACAGTCAGCTAGAAAACAAAGAGAAGGCCAAAACTGAACTACTAATACAAGCCAAACTCCAACAGACTTTTCAGGAAGAAGGCAAAAAGGAATGTAACGTTTTCAGTCTAGTTACTCATCCTGCAAGTTTCATTTTGTTGGATAGTTGTGTTTAGCAAACAAGCCTCTAGTGGGCTACACTTCCCTTTAATTAAGGTTTATTTGTGACCCTTTTTCTATATAACACAAATTCTGGCCCTCATGTTCTCACACAAAGATATATACAAACATGCAAAAAACCCAGCGTATTTTACTTTGGCCTAACAAGAGCTATGATTTCAGAAAACAAGAAACAAGCAAATAATGTACCAGAGCTTACATGTAACTAGTAAAAAACCCCAAGGAATCGTTAAAAACTAATTGGGGAGCCTATCAACTGTGAAGAAAATCACTTCTACCTGGCCTCAGAAAATGAATGCAAATACTTGTTTTATATTTAAAGCAATTTTACTGTTTTCTTCTTCAATGTAGGACTTATTATATGAAAAATTCAATACTGAAAACTCCTAATTTAGGTGTTTGGAAGAAGATTAACAGCAAATTTAATCCTACTTTGGAAGTACAGCTTCTATTTATTGAATGCTAAATGGATCTGAGAGAAGCAAAAGGGAAGAACTGTGAGGAGCAGTGTCTGACATTACTTTCCTCTCAGATAATTGTTAATAAAATGGAAGTTTTGGGGTGGAAGGAAAAATTGACATTTACTGACATTTAAGCAGTTAAAATGTAATCTTTCCAGAGAATGAATAGCAGAAAAAGGTGGGGGTGGAAGAGAAGGGAATCGACTTCTGCCCTTATTACACAGAAGAAAAAACATGGAGAAGTGCCTGAAATGAACCGAATAAAAGCACAAAACCACGAGTACTTGCAGATGAAGTTCTCCCAGGCATGAAGGAGGATGTCAGAGGTCCCAGGAATACTGATTTTGGGCTCCCAAGAAATATTTCCTAAAAGACAAGCACTCAGCTATAAACCATTAATGCTAATCAGTCATCCTGAACTGGGAAAGAGATCACTGCTCCTGATGGCAATGATGAGTGACCAGTAAACACAGCATCAGCACAGCTCAGAATCTGAACAGGATTTTAGTCATTTAAGAAAATCCCTTCTAACTTTAATCTATTTTTAAAAAGGAATCAGAGAAGAAGAAAATCCTCATGGGTTTTGCAGCAGGGACACCAATCACTTCATGAAGACACAAACTGAAATGCAAAATATCAGTCAAGACTTCTGTGTGATCATGCAACAAAATTCACAAAGGAATCTAAAGACTGACTAAAGTCCAAAGGCATAAGGTATTTTGATTAATAACTTGAAGATTTAGATTAAATGTGGTATGAAAGGGTAAATGATTAATTTATTTTTTAATTAAAGTATTATTTGAAGGCTTCAGCAGACAGCTTAAGACAACTCAATGCAGCCTGATTTCTCAGTAGAATCAGCACATTAGAAAAAGCATTCCCCCTTTGGATCCTCTGAAGTTACGTACTTGAAATCGAGGGGACTTTACTCTGGTAAGCTCTTTTACAAAAAAGCCTGATGTACTGGGAAGCTTTGAAAGACACCATCCTTCAGAGAAGGTGAGGAACCCCTGGGTAATAAGAAGCAACCATAAAACAGAATCTTGATTCATATTAATAATATATTAACATGGCTAATCTCAACCAAAGAGCATTTAATGCTCTTGTACACAGAAAGGAGAAATAACATGCAGCTGTCTACTGGTAATCCCCTAACACAGCAGGAAACCAAGTGAGGATGGAACACATTAACGTTACTCATTTTGAATGTAAAACAGCGCAGCATTCCTCAGTGATGTAGGTGGTGTGTTGTGCACATGAGAAGTTGGTGACTAGCAGCGATATTAACAATCCCAAGTCATCCCTGCTTTAACTTGCTCAAATGCAGGTCAGTAGATCAGTTTTAAAAGACAGAAATGACCACTTTGGTCTGCTGTGCCAGAGCATCCTCAACAAACAGAGATGAAGGAATG